GACACTGTGTTAAGCACTTCACATGTTATTTAATTCTTTAAATAATACCATAAGGTAGAGACTACTGTTATATGTCCCAGAAAATAGAATGAGAGAACTGAGACATAGAAAAGGCACCTGGTAAAGTAAGCCAGGATTCAAATTTAGACAGTCTGGTTTCTGAGAAGAAATTTTCAACTACTCAGCTACACAGCTGTTCCTTCAAGTCCCTTCTCTCCCACACATAACTAATTGTATGTTTATTACTTACTTACTCCATGCCAAGCCCCCTGCTGCCATGTACCAAGAAGCTGAACTTAAAGTGAATCAGAGTAAGAGTCATAAGACATAGCTTTTGTCCTTGTGGAGTTCTTTTTCTTTCTTTCTTATTTTTTTTCTACTTTATGGAGTTAGACTACTTGGTTCAACTTCATGAGGTCAAAAAACTGTACTCAAGACAATCTTCAATTGAATTCAACAGAATCAGTAGAGGAACTGAAACAAGGATATGTCAAAATAGCTTCAATTTGAATTTATATGTAACCTCCAAAGCACTTCATAAATTTTTTAGTAGCAGAATCATAAAAGTATGGCTTTCTTTTTTATTTGTTTCTTTGAAGTGATTAACTAAATGTTTTTTCTGGCCTTTGCCCAAAGCCCATAGAATCCTTTAAATTTAAATCCTCTCCAACCTACCTCTCCCACTACACAGACACTCTATGCCTTCATAAGGCTCAACTTCAACTTCCAATGGGGAAAAAGGGCTGGCTCATGCTGCTGGCATAAGAACTTTCTACAGCATGCTACACTAGAGGAAAAAAAAATTAATGACCGGAAATTATTAAACAAACACAGTCATTAAATGCACTGTGTCTTGCAAGCAATAATGTTGCCTTCCAGTTAACTTTATCCTGATTTTGAATTGTAGAAATCCTCACTCAGATTTTAGATTTCATACAAAATATTTCCTGCTAGATGTAGTTTTAACTAAACAGATCATTTGTTCATTCAATAATGACTGGATTGACACTGCGTCCTACGCATCTGCCCATTATACTGAGTCAGTAAAGCAAACAGGTAGATAAAAAGCAACCATAGCAAGTGTGTAACAAGTGCTGCTCAGAAAACTGGAAGCAAAGGAGTATTAGCCAAAGAATATGAACATTTCCATTGAGGGCAGAGAGCTTCCCTCATTGCTTTTTAAAAGACTGTCCTAATTGATATGGACAATAAAAACACCAGAAGAAGATATCTGAAGATGTTCCTATAGGGGGAACATGAAGTGTCTCCCCCAATGGGACTAGATGGGTTGTACAATGGGGGAAACGTGAAGTTTTCACCCTTAAGTAAGCAAGTAATTACTTTCAAGTATTCTGAGCAGCGGAGAGGCACGGACGCACAGGTGGTATCTTTCCGCGCCGTTCACGAGGAGAAATGGGGCAAGTCGGCGCAACACTGAGCAGTGTAGCCCCCTAGTAAAAATTTTCGTCAGTTACATAAATGCAACGAATGCTCTATAGCACACTGGAGTTATTTTTATAATAAAACACCACACCGCTTGCATGAGAAATAAAGCATCCTTTCTAAGGAAGGCAGCTTTCAGTTGTTAAGTGCTGGGCAGAATGGACTTCAGGAGGTCAGGAGTCCGGAGGCGGAATTGGAAGCTGGTCTGAAGGACTAATATTACCTCTACAAAAATAATAAGAAAGCTTTGTTGATCTTTCAGTTTGGACCTGCGTGTATGGAACCACAGGATGTTTTTAAGGGATCACTTATTAAACCTGGCATTCAGCTCCTTTATGAACCCTACTGTGATTTTGTGTTATTGGGTTTTAAAAATCAAACCACTTTTCTTTCCTTCTTGGCGGGAGTTGGAGAGCTTCGCTGGGGTGGGGAGTGTCTCCTTGTTTTTTTTTTTTT